TTCACCAGCTCCACCAGAGGAGAAGTTTGGTGAAATCAAGCCTACAGATAAATAAACCCCATATGTTATATTCCACACTTAAAGGAAGCATGAAACTGAGAAGAAAATGAGGACCCTCAAATCCCTCAAACTCTACCCACACAACTTCAGCAATAGATTGCTTATGCAGGTTCCTAAGCAATCCCATCACGCCTGGTACCTACACTCAGATTGTACAGCAATTTGACTGAGGCTGATTCAGTATCTTTCTAAAGCCTGAAAATGTATGAAGTAAACAACAGGCCAACGACAAAAGTATATTAGATAACACTTTTGGGAAGAGGATCAAAGAATTTTAAAAAAAGCCAAAAAACAACACAAAGCCACTTCAAAGACCAACAGAATAGGAGACTAAATAGGCAAACATAAAATAGTATGTCCAGAGAGACTGAGATAAATGCTTACTAGAAGTAACATAAAGAGAGAAAGTGTCAAAATTCCATCAAATAATTTCTAGTCATTGCATGCTAACTTAAGGAATACATCTGCTTGATGTATTCATTAAAATGTATTCCTTTAAACTTTTTCTCTTGCATTAATACCATTTTTGATTCCTAATATAAAATTATAATATTGTTACAAAGGAGGCACAACTAGGACAACCTATTTACAACTCCTAGCGGTAATACAGGACAATCTATTCCAAAAATAAATTCCCCCATCTGATTTGTCCTAAATCTTTAATCTCATTAGTTTTGCACACTGATAAAGGATAAAAGAAATCTAAAAGAGGGTAAGTTTCCAGGCACCGATAAATAGCATATCAGGTTACATAAGAATAACAAAACATCCCCCATTCTGAATGGGTGAAACAACCTGTGGTACTAAAGAATTTAAAAGTTGGTTTCAACACCTACCCAGGGGTGCACAGCCACCAGGAGGAAAATCACTGCACATAAATGAAAAGCCTTTCCAAAAGCTCATTGACTGCAACATCTGTATTTCTTACTGCTATTTACAAAAACATTTACAAACTCTTGAACTGTTTCCAAATCACTGTGTTGGAACGGTACCGAGCCTGTTCTGAGAGGTGATATAAGGAAAGGAGTATTTGCAGTATGTTTTCTGTCTCCTACAAGGCACACAGTGAATATTGTAGCTTTCTGCGCTCCTATCAGATTGCTAGAAAGAGGAATATAATCAATTAAAGAACAGAGACAAAGCAGTTAAGGTTGAAACTATACAGACAACTCAATTCATGCAAAGAAAGCTCACAACTCCAGGCCTTGGAGAACGCAAAGATGAATAATGCCACATTAAATACAGCAAAACAGCCAGGAAAAGCAGCCAAAAGCCTCCCAGAAAATAGCTAGACATTTTACATCTTATATCCTTTTGCTTGAGTTGATCTTCTTAAAACATGCATGAGTGCAAACTTTATGAGATAAGCAAAGGGCATATTATACCCAAAGAAAAAAATATAATTTAAAATATTCTAAGCAGAAGAGTGGCAATTTGAATGTGATGCATCCACTGCTAAATTCAGAAATTGCACCAGTATGCAAATATCTTACTGAATATTAATCCATTTTCTCATCTACTGTATGAAGTGAAGCGACCATGACTAATCGTTGCAGAAATAGACAATCAATACACTTCTTTGTGAAAAAAATGTGCTCCAGCAGCCCCCCAGTCACACAGGGAACTATCTCGAAGGTGCCAGCACTAAACTCACAGCCAACCATTAACTTCCAACTGGCTTCACACGACGGCACAAACGCACCGAGACCAAACCTGCCACCATAAAACCACTTCCACCCATAACAAAATAATCTATTTTCAGTTTAGCCACGTGTCTGAATGCACTTTGTGCGTTCTAGACCCTTGCAATTAGTACAAGTAGCTGAGTCAAAACTAAGCTCAGAGATGCTGCTCCATGAGGATGTGCACACAGCAAAAGGGAATGTCAGAACACACCGTAAACATTTGAACACCCGAGGATAAACCGCATGCCTCCAAAACTATAAGGAGCAACCAATATATTTTTCATGCTTTTTGGAAAGCAGAATATTTCATAAACACTATTTAAAAAAAAAAAAAAAAATTGGAAAAAAAAAAACTCTCAGCTCTTGTATCTTTAAATCTTGGATCTATTTGCTATCTCAACACATTGTATTATTCATAGTGAAATTTCATTAAGCACACTGCTGCTAGATGTCCAGATAAAATAGTATGTCCAGAGAGACTGAGATAAATGCTTACTAGAAGTAACATAGAGAAAGTGTCAAAATTCCATCAAATAATTTCTAGTCATTGCACGCTAACTCGTCTACTAACTCATCTAACTAACTCATCTGAAAATGTCCCATAAAAATGTATTTTATATTTTTTTACTTTCCAGAAGATTTTACGTTTTTGTAACTTTTTTTTTCCCTTTTAAACTGGAAGTTTTCACAAAAGCAACTCTGAAGCTGGGTAGACTTCAACTTCAGCAGATACACCAGGCAACATAAAGCATATAGATACTCAAGACAATAAGCCAAGTTTGAATGTGAGATTTTCATTGGATCTATACCCCAAAAGAGTTAATAATGCACATTTCTGTATTCAAGATACTCAAAGCATCTGTGTGCGTATGTACTGTATGGTATGTACTGTATCTAGCTGTGTACTGTGTGCCTATTATCTAAAGTAATGCTTACTGTGTTCCTTTTTAGTCTCTCCCTTCCTATTTGTTCAGGAAAATGGGGCACAAAATTTAAAATCAGCATGTGAAGGTAAACAGAGTCCATCTCTTCTGTGCCACCATGGTATTAAAATAGAATCATAGAATGGTTTGGGTTGGAAAGGACCTTAAAGATCACTCAGTTCCAACCCCCTGCCCTGGGCAGGGACACCTCCCACCAGAGCAGGTTGCTCCAAGCCCCATCCAGCCTGGCCTTGAACCCCTCCAGGGATGGGGCATAACACCAGGAAAACTGGCAAAATGGCAATTCCCATCCCCGTGAACTGCAGGGAGGGTGGCAAGGAGGGAAGAGCTTGAAAAAAAAGCGCTATGTACCATATATTATGTTTAGTAATTGCACTTACAGATTATACGGTCACGTAATCGTGTCATTAAGAAAGATTTTTTCAAAGTTTTACCCAAACTTCCCAGCTCTCAGCACCCTGTGACTGGCATTTGGAGTCAGCTCTGCCTGTCCCTCTACCCGTCACCTTCCTTCCTTTCCAATTCTTACCTGAAAAAGCACCAAAAAACCCCAAAATTTCCAGAGCCCGGATGCTCACAGTTAATAAACTCCTCACTAAAACACCACGGCTTTGTCGTGTCACTGTGAGGGGGATTCATCAACCCTCAGTGCGACCAACCAAAGAGTGTGGCGGGTCACCGCCCCTCTGATTTTTGGGAAC